CCAGTACAAATTTGTATTAATAGGCTATAAAACTTATTAATGTGATCTAACTGGGGTTAATGTACTGGTACGATTAATAGGGATTTATCCCCTCCCTAAAACGAAAAATATTTCTTCGCTCTAGTATATTTCAACAAAAAAATTGCACAAACTTGGATCATTTTAAAATAACTTAAGCAAAATTTATAAATACATATAAATCCGGGACTCTATTTAAAAGTTTTAAAAATGTTATAAACGGTTTTCAAATTTTCTAACATACATTAAGTATATACTCACAAATATTTTAGAAAATTAAAAGGTATTTAATAATATCCATTAAGCTATTAATTAATTTTCTAGAGTTTATACCCGGAGTGATAATTACAAAAGTTGTATTTTTCGGAAAATTCATACAGTCGTTTTTCTGTATTCAAATTGTTATATGGCTGTGGCATGACATTTAATCTTTTTGATCAATATTGTACATTAAAGCTAATCTAATAATTTATCTACTGGAATTTAATAAATAAAATTGAAATTAGTTCTTGACTGTCATTATTTTTAATGTATAAAATGTCAAGGTTGATAAAAATAGACTTTCTTCATTTCGACTAGCATACTATTTTAATTTTTAAAAATCAAGAAATTTAAGTTTCCCTTAACTTAACATTTTGATAGAATAGATATGCATAACTTCGTTTAATGAAAAAAAGGATAAAACTTGATTCTTTTACTTTAGTTCGAAAACTAATTCAATAAGTAAACTTCTATAATGTGTCAACATTTTTGCCATTCTGTCACATTAACTTATATTTTTGATTCATATTAAATTATCAATGTTACTAATTGATTACATTTTACCCTCGTTTTCAATACATTGACATTACAAATGGGCGTTGTACAGGATATCGTCTATTAAAAATGCACTTACAAGAATTTAATATAAAGTTTTCTATTTATTCGTAAATAAGAGACTAATCAAAGAGTCTACACGAGGTCTTTAAAAGGTAATTGAACGTTAAATAGTTTCCTACTTTCCAAGCTTAATATCCTAAAGAGTGGTTGTGCTTTAGACAAAGATAATAGACGATTCACGGATAAAGTGTTCTTTATATTTACCTACCAATATATTAGCTTATGGTTTATTACTTGCAGAACAGCATCCGCAAAATCATTCTAGGTAACATGGATTACTGAAAAAATCGCCTTATATACTTATGGCTACAAGTGTAACTTAAGTATTCTCTTAAATGCCTCTTAAAGTAGGTGACACTTTGTTTTAAGCTTATTTTGTATTAATCATACAAAGAATGTATTTTTTATACATTTGTAATTATATTCTATAATATTAGTATGAAAATTATTTATCTATAATACTTTTATAGTAATGGAAAATCATACTGCATATTTAAATACTATTGTTTTTTTTTTTACAATAATTTAATTTTTTATTTAAATAGAAATTAGTAATGAGATATAATTTTTTCTTACACTTATAAGCAAATTAAAAATAATTAATTTTAAAAGTATCATAGATACGATTGAGCTTAATAGATTCAAAAAATTGTTCATGATAATTTGTGTTATAGCTACTTAATTTAAATTTAGATCATTGTCTTTGTTAGATAATTAATTTGTTTACTTATACACATAGCAAGGCAATTGAAAAATAAATGTAAATTTAATAACTACCTACTATATTAAAGTAATTGATTATATTATATAAAAATAAATGTAAAGTGTTTTTCTAGTTTAAAATATAAATTCGTTGTTGTATACATACTACATAAATCACTAGTATAAAAACTATAAAATTAATTTTAAATAAACCATAACAAAAGTACGAGAATAATTGAAAAATAATAATAACATTAATAATAAAAAATTAAAACAGTATATTACTGATGTCAAAATGTAAGTCAAGGAGTACAAAAAAAAAACAAAAAATGTAATATTAGAAATAAATTGAACTAGAGCGAAAATAAATATAAAATGTGCGCTCAACTTAAACTATTCAATAGAATAATTTACTAAATCACAATAGCAATTTTACATAGTCATAATAAGGTATCTTTTGAGTTCTTAATGAATATAAAAGTTTTATAAATGAACTATAAAACATTGCAAGCTGTTTGAAGAATATGTAAAAATAAGAGATACTGAAATATTTAAGAGTTTACACGTGTACATTAAAAAATTCAAATATTAAATATTACTATAACTCTAGAAAAAAAACTGTATATAATGACAAACATTTGTAATTTAATTATTCTATTATTATTATTATTTAATAATACTAGTGACAAACATTTGTAATTTAATTATTCAGACTTAAAATTAGTCATCCGATCTAAATGCGCAACGCCATTAAAGCAAGATATTAACTCAAAATATTAAAAATTTTGGTTGTATCACAATTATGCCATTAAAAGTGAAACATGCCTATACAATTGTTATTACTAAGAAATATTATCTCCGAATTAAGAATATAAACACATACAAATCATTAAAAAAATATGTGTTATTTCGTAACTTTTAAAACCCTTGTTTAATTCATTTTCAAGGACAACAACAGTTAGTTTTCCATTATATTTAGTAATTTTATTTCTCAAATAATAATGTTTTTTTAATGAATTAAAAAGAAATTATACATATCGTGTTTTTAAATTTCTTTTTAATTCGTAAAACAATTCATACAGTTTAACAAATAAGTATTTTATCTTTAATATACAAATCAAATTTCTTGTGTTTTTTGAAATAATGATTCAAGAATACAAAATTTAAAATAAAATTCAAAAAGTCAATGAACTTCAATCCTAACAGTTTTATGACGAATAGATGCTAAGCCAGAAATATTATTTTAGAGTTTACTATATGAAATTCTAAAAATAATTAACCATATATGGACTAAAACTAATGTTATAATTTAATTTTATTGTTTATTTTTTACAATACATGCAACTAACTTTATGCATTTGCATATTACATATTTCGCTAATATATTACACAGTAAATAAATAAATCTATAACATCGTTGTCTCGATAGCAAACTTATACTTGTCTAGTTTTTCTTATAAAAAAAAAATTATAATTGATTAATAAGTGCTAGTGTTGTTGTTGAACGTCGTAATTGTATAATGTTTTTTCTAAATCGAATTTGATGTCGATCAGTTTGAAAAAATAATTGAGCAATAAAAGAAAAATTCAATTGAGTATCCGATTGTTAGAGTTTACTTTAAATTTAAATTAAATCTTAAAAACGATTGTATTTGAGGAGCATAGTTTTTTATATTTCTATCTATAAAATTACGATGAAAATACAATCCAACATTTCTGTGCGAATTATTATGTAAACTGTAAAAAAATAATTGAATGAACTAAATTGTACTAAAATATAAACCAATTGCATACATAATTTATAAATGTTTTCTTGCCTGTTGTATGACATTTACACAAAATTAATTCAAATTGAATTTTTCAAATGTAGTATTTTAGTATTAAAAAACCAATTTAATGAAAAAAGTAACAATAGCGTAACATAAGGAATTCTCCAGAGTTTAAAACCCGTCAAAAAGATTATGAAATTTATTAAAAAAAAAAAATCAGAAAAATCGAGTTGAAAAATAATAAAAATAACCTATAAAACTACGGAGTGCTACATTTTATATGATTAAATCAAAAGATAAAAATACGTCACATTTAATGTTTCCAAGAATGCTCAAGGTAACATTCATTTTATTTTTTCTACAATTTTTCAACTTTTGTGTTTTGCTATTTCAAGCAAAATGTATCTCGTGTAATAAAAGAACCCATTGTTTAGTAGGACACTAACTCCATCATTTAAATGTAAAATTTTTTGACCAAAGGCTGAAAGTTGAACCCTAAAATCTTCTAACGAAACGTGCCCCTGGACAGGATGATAAATGAAAGTTTTTACATATACTTTGTCGGCCGAATAAGATCAGTTTTCATTTGTTCAAAAAATAATTGTGAATTTAAATGGGTTAAAAAACACTTGACTGGGGAAGAAGGTCTATAGAATTAGACTTTTTCCACGAAAATTAATACCAAAACCGGATGTGAACACATCAATTTTACATTGGAAATTGTAATCTCACACAAAATTAGCCGCCGATTATGTTTTATGCCATTAAAAGTTACCATAGTGTCACGATCTTCCAGAGTACACATTCATCTCTGATGACTTTCTCAGAACTCACAGTTACCTATTCCGTCACAAACTTAGTGGTACGGATGTCGAACGTTATTTTTTCATCAAGAATGTTGGCTTTTAAGTGTTTTCGGTGTTTTCTTCACCTCCTCCGCGACCACGACGTTTTGTTATTTTTTTTCAATTTTGATTTATAAGTAATGTGGACGTTTGGTATAAAATATACAATCGTGTGTTGGGCCGGTTTATATTATCGGGATAAAAAAGGCGTGCGAGGACTTACGTCAAAAACGTTTCAGTGGATTCGCACAACTGTGACGTACACCGACAGATCAGTAAGATAAAAAAGACGGAGAGGGAGAGGGAATAGGAGCAACGGATACTTGTCTGAAAACGGCAGGGTACGTGTTGCTGCCTTTAACGATCATAGCCGCGACATCGGTTCAAGCCGTTTCAAGTCTCCTACTGTGTACTGCAATAATATCGGTCTCTGATTTATATATATATTGTCGTCTCACCGTACTCGCCGTTTCCAGCCACCGTTTCTGAAACACGCACCGGAAATTTAAGCGAATAACAATGAACGCATCACATACAGGCGTAGGTGGACAACAGACCGGAGCGATAAGACAAGGGTACGGTGGTCGGGAGAAAAACATAATCCCGTTAAACGAAAGCGATAAGCAATTTTCGATGCAGTGAAAGGGGCACGGACGGAGGTAAGGTCGGACGTCACTGAGTAAACCAAGCGCGCCGCTACGGCTAGGCGGTGAATAAGCGGGAGTATTGTGAGAGGGGAGCGACGGCGAGAGCGAACGAGAAAGCTATTGCTCGTGGAACGCACACAGCCACACGGCAGCGACGATCTGGGTCAGTGAGTCACGCGCACTGTTCCGAGAGGGTGTGCGGCGACACGACGACATGACGACCGTCTCCGAGATCCTGTCTTACGACAAGTCGGCCCATGACGATTATTACGCCCTGTTGGGATGCGACCAGACGTCCACAGTAAGTAATTGAATGTAATCATCATTTTTGTAGCTTCGAACAGTATCGTTTTTACTAGTTGTCCGTAAGGCTCCTCTATCATCCGGCCGGGTTATAATTGAGGCAATCGTGTTTATTTTTGCTAGACAATTTACCGATCGGAAATCTCTTGATTTACCGTTTATTATTTAAGGTTATTCGGAAGTGCACTTAAAACAATGACGCATTAATATTAATAAATCTATGCGCCTGCGACGGTAAGCAAGAGATTGCATACATTATCATTCATTAACCCGTCCCTGAGAAAACTTTACGAATTCCAACCTGGGTATATTGTTCGACTGAAATGATTAGACTTGCCAACACCCACGTCTGAACGTGATTGGAGAAACTCTGGCAAAATGACCAACCGTATTGCACCTTTATAACTCGATAAATTTTTAATGGTCTACCCGGCCGTTGTGTATTTACTGGAGTGCCGACTAGAAAAAAATAATTTTAGATATTATGTCCCGATTGGATGCGGTTTATATATTAAACCCTTTGTCATCATAAACAAAGCTGTTGAAACCAAAACGACCAGAGTTTTCCACGAGGACAAAACGTTTCAATGTCGTTGTTATTGCGCAACGGTATTGAATGCATTTAAGCAACTCGCAGGTGAACGTAACTGCGGTCGAACCTGATGGCGGCCGGTTTCGAACAATTTGCCCACACTCCCGTCCACTTCGTAATCAAACCCAAAAACACCATTATTATAATTACACAATAATGGTAACGACGTGTTGAGTACGGGCTCCCGTGTGTTTTGTGTTCATACCGTTTATTGCAGAGCGGCTAAATCAGTCGACAGTCTAGTTCGATCGACGAAAGGTTTTAATATAAATTGTGTTTGGACTTCATCGTCCGCCCGCTCACCTGTCGTAGTGTGCCGGCGAATAGCACCAGTGTAACGATTTTTCATCATTACATGACGTTGTCAGATTGTATTCTCGTATTAGGTAAAATAATTTAATAAAATGCCACCAGTCATTCCAATAGGAAGAATCGATTGAGTTATCTATACGTGAAACATACTCCGCGTGTACCCCACCCCACCATAATAGTAAGCTGTGAAACGTTCGACTTTTTAAAAAGTCACTGTACTAAAAAAAATATTCAACGTTTGAGCACATAGAGATTATAAATGTATTTTACAATACAAGTCAAAACCATTTACTAAGAATGTAATATGTTTTTTAATAGACGAGTACTCAAAACATCGTTAACCGCTAGTCGCTGTTGTAGAGTACATCATTAAATCAAGATATCACATGATGAAATCATGTTCCATAATATCTCTTGTAAACTTCTGAACTGAATTAATCAATTAAAAGAACCCAGCACAATAGTGTCGTGGCATTGTTGGGACAAGTATAAATGATATCTTACAGTGATCAACATCACTATCATAACTTTATGACAATGATGTTGAAGCGTATTTACGCTTTGATTCAAATCTAAATCTGAATTTCACAATAATTTTATACTTGTAATATGAGAGTTTTTCTATTTTTCATTATAAAATACCCTTAAAAAACTTGTGTTATGTTAATATGTTCAGGAACATTTTTATAAATTGAGTTGAAATAAATTGTTTTACATGCGTGGTTAGTCTCTTTTAAACCCTTCTTGTACTTAGGTTATTAATTAAAGTTTTATTATAACCATACCAAATAACAGATTATTATCTCTTTTACACTCTACTAAAGTTTTGTTACAATCAGTGTTTTTGAAAAAAACATAAGGCAGTTTAAAAATGCAGAACAATTTTTGAAAACGCAATTTTATATGATCATTTTGAGTTGTTTTGTTTTTAATTTTTGACACCAATGGGTTTAATTAGATTAAATTCGGGTTTTTTTGATGCATATATCAACAAAATCGGTCTAATAAAAAGCTAAGAATTATCACGGACGGATCTTAATGATAAAACTTAGATGCAAAGCTTAAATGTTAACAAAATTTTAAATATTAACATTTTTCATTATTGGTTATTATCAAGTCTGTCGATTTTTAGATCTAAAATGTACCAATATTCTAAGAAAATAAATCTAAATTTACAATAAAAATAACAATATATATTGTTAATAAATTGCTTTATCAATTTGAAAATTAAAAGGATAACCAAGTGCATAATGAAAAATTAACCAATAGTAATGCAAGTCATAAAGTAATTAATAAGTTAAACTTTTTAATTTAACAGATATATTTAGATTTTACCTTAATTTTATTTTTATTCATTTAACAACTAATTAATATATATATTTTTTTTTCGTTAAATACCACTTTTTAATGAAATTCTACTTATAGTAAAAACAATTTAGGAAAAAAATATATATATTTAGCCCTTCAAAATTTTACCACGTTACGCCTATGATATTTTTACAAACCTATTAATACATGTATTAACATAAATTATTTATTTTTAATTTAATACATTTAAAAAGTAATATAGTTAATAGTTAAGTTAGTTACTCACTAACTCTTTAAAATTAACTATAACGAGTTAAACATTTTTGTTAAATTTATAATAATAATAAATTTAATAAATAAAAAGACAAGTACTCAGATTAATCTATAATAAAAATGTGTAAATAATAATTTTTATTTTAAGTATATAAAAATATGTAAGATAAAATTTTGCCCACAAATTCGTCCAAAAAAAATTTTCTAGTATCATAAAAAAATACAAAATCATAATAACCACGGCCTTGGTTATTATACAAGTCAATGTAAATAAATATATTATTTAAAACTGAATATCATTACATTTTTCTGATGTAATATGAAACATTCTTGAATCTTGAATCGACCAAGTTCATGAATTATATTCACACATTTTTAATAATTATAAAAAACCTGATAGTTTTACTGTATTATTATTCCTTTTTTTTTATATAGTTTTTGTTATATAAACATTTTAGCTCTCTACTGATTAGCAATTTAAATTTTGTGATATTACAGCCGTCGGCATGAGTTTAACTTTTGACAAAACTTATATTAAATATTTAATCAAAACATGTTCAAAGTTTACTCTAATAATATTTGTGTATAGCGTATACTATACACATCGAGTAATACTCATATTCGTATTCATATTCATAATTCAAATATACATATGATGTGTAATTATGGTACATCTTCAACGAATCACACGGTCATTTAGGAAACACAACATGACAAAATCCATCCTTTTCATTACTTATTATACTCTAGTTAACACACATAATAACTGTATCCAATGTATTACATGCCTACTGGATTCCAATAGAACTAATGATGTGCAAAAGTCTACAAAAGAAAAATGCTCAGACAAGATTTTCAATTCTTATAAAAAATAAGTAATACTCGTAGTATGTAATACTTTACACGACTTCTATTGTTCCTTTCAACTTTTCAATTGTCATACGATTTATTGATAAAAGTTTTAGAGTTCATGAAAAAAACAAAAATAGAAATAAAACTTACAATTATTGTAAGTTTTATTTTATTTTTTATTTTTCGCGTTGCTCATTTTATAACCAATATATTTTAAACATTTTAATCTGTTTACTTATGTTTTAAACAGGTTTTTTATCAACCGGGTACCGAGCAGTTATAACTTTTATATGTAACGCTTACAAGTATGCGTGAATGAGCATTGTAATTAATAACACGTATTAATAACAACTGGATACATCCTATTATGACATATAATTACAAAGTATACCAAATTAATCATTCTGCTTTGAAGATTAGAAGTTCTAAACAAGAGTATACAATAAAATAGAATTAACATTTTTCAGGGTATTAAATAAACTATTCTGCGCATTTACAGACATTTTGAATTCGCTATTGTACTGTTATCATCGATAATTATTATGGTGAAATTTATGAATAGCTAAATAATACTTATGCATTTTTTATTATAGAAATGTCAAGTTTCTTATAGTTACAAGCAGTTTTGTAAATACCCTTGTAAATTGAATGACATAAAGGCTTATAAAATAGCTATTATATAATTTAAAAACAAAAAGGTTTTTATAAAAGTTTTAATAAAAATTAACTAATATGGCTTGCAAAAGCCTATTAACTACTAATATACTAAGGTATATAAAGTTTTTAATGAATCTCTGCCTACACAATTAAATATTTTTCATAAAATTATTTTTCCTTAATGCAAATGACGTGGCGGATAATTAAAGAATTCGAGTATACGATCGCTTGACGTGTTTTCAAGACTATTGAATTTATTAATTTAACACCGGTCAAAAAATAAAACAAATATTTTACTAAATATAAAGTTCTTAAATCCCAGAAAAAATGGTCAAGTATCAACATTTTTGACAAATTCTTTATCATGATTTGAAAAAAAAACTAAAAAAGTGATGTCAAAATAAACCAAATAGTATGATATAAAGATATTAAACATAAATAAACATGATACATAGTATTCCAATGATCAGTTAACATAATATTTGAAAAAAATATTTAATAACTCAAAAGATTACATACAGTTAAGTACAGGGTTTAAAATAATATCAACATCATTTATGCATGAGCTCAATTTGAACAAAATGAAGACATCTAATTTTATTTCCCCCCTTAAAAATATTCCTGTATTAATTTACATGTAAATTTTACATTATATACATAACTTTTATATCTTTAAAAAAATTGTAGCGACTGGCGTACTTAATTAAGTAAGCCGCTGGTTATTCAATAACAATGGGAAACTGTGTTACCCGTCGATTATTTAAGCAAGTAGCAGTCGGCTAACTTAACAAAATAATATATACAGAGTGATTTATTTATCATTAACGATTATATTTCTTCTAAAAAAATAATAATTGAGACATTTTTTTTTTTACTTGAGTAATATTTATTTCTCTACTTTTGAGTAATTAAATAGTTTTTAAATAAACCAAACCTATCTCTTATCCTTTATAAATATACCAACTTTACTTTTTAATGAAAACATGCATATTTAACTAGTTTATGCAATACAAAAGGATCAAACTAAGAAATTAATTGGGTTGGAAAATATACAGCTTTTCAATTAATAGTTTAGAAGTTATGAATATTTTTATACCTGGGTGGTAGGAGTAGCCGGCAGAGTGTACGTCATCATAAAAATAACATATATCACATCTCACCACCAATCTATATTTAAAAATGTTAAGAACTTCTTAAACATTCGTTCAAAAGTTGTTATCGACCAATCATTTTCTTTGTTTAATCATTTTATATTACATGAACTAGTTAAATATTTACTTGAGGATTCTGACGTACTTAAATAAGTACATAATGTTATATATCAGCTGATGCCTGGGGTGGTTAGATTATCGAATATTATACTAGTTTCATTTATCATTTCTCTCTCGAATGAGGTTGTTATGATATGAATTATGGTTATATTAACTTTTCTTTATTCATTTTACTGTACCGAGAATCAGGTCTCTCACCAGTTCGTAGAATGTGGACTGACGCGATTTGAATTAGTTGTTGTGAACTAAGAAATTAATTGATCTGTTTCTGAAGCGCTAAGGTATAAGTATTCCTTTTAGAAAATTTTTTAATGTAGAAGTTAGATGACTAAAATTTTTATTTATAAGAGGGCCTTCACTTTATCCATTTCATAATATTTGTTAAAAGAGACACTGAATGCCTAATAGCTTTATTGGATACGTAAGGATCGTTACGAATGATGATGCTTAAATTTTTGATCTTGAAAGACCTTATTTTTGAGATTGAGGTTTTGGTTATGTTTAAGGTCTATAAAGGAGCTGTAAAAGACCTTAGTCTTGAGTAGGAGAAAAATTTTATTGTTGATTACAAGGTAAAGTAGATGTTTTATAATTTTATTTAATATTGCTTTGACAAGATTTGAAAAGGTTAGTTTATGACCGTTTTGGAGTCTTAAGTACTTGATTGATGAAGATCAGTTGATAGGCTCTCTGTGTATTTTAGATTTTAAAATATTAGAATATTGAAGAAGTCCTTTTTTGTAAATATTATGACTAACGTTTTAATTAGATAGACTTACAAGTTAGTATTTAGTATTTTTCCAATCAATAAATCATGGTTCCAAAATGTCTCATTTTTTGCAGTTTTTAACAGCTACTTCATTTGTTTTGCTTGTTGAATAGGATAAGGTGTCATCCGTGTAAAGGCTGGATTGTAGTCCCGAAATTTACTTAAATCGTTTATTTAAATTAAAAATAGATAGTTGGAAGACAAACGAAAGCCTTGAGAACTCTTGCCTAGATGGATTTGATGTATGATAAAGTACTGTTGATCTTGGTTATAAAAGAACGGTTCTCAAAAAATAGTGTTGAAGAAATTTATAATTTCAGTTTGTAGATGCAGTTATCATGTCACTGATATAAAACCCTATCATTATATTTATAAATAATAAAACTTGTAATCAGGATATAAAATTTTAGCTTCAATGCGAAGCTGAGAAGGTATTGGTTTTACTATGATGTGTTTTTTTTTTTTTTGTTGTGTCTGTTACCACTTTTTCTCAGCTCTCACCGAACGGATTTCTTTCAACGATACGTCAAAAGATCACAAATCGTATCTAGTCGAAGAAATTACCTTCAAAAATTGAAAAAATTTCCCTTGTTTCCCGTAAATGGAGGAAACCTCCAAAAAAATTACAAATTTAAAAATCGCTAATTTTCGAAAAATTTTTTACTTAAAATTTGACATACTTTATCTTAAATAGGATATTAATAAGGAACTAGCAGATCATGTAACATTTGGAATAATCCACCAATTTTTTAAAATTAAACACTATTTATGGTTTTGCATCGAAGCGTTTTTTATAATAGTGATTTTAATCACTGTCAGATATTATTATACTTGACCCATTTATGTCACGTCCCAACTGTAACGCGACCCCACTGTGTTAGATTTTTTTTTTAAATAATTTTTTCTTACGGTATATTTGATATTATAACGTGTTATAAAAATGTATTTCCCTTTAACCTTTACTGTATTTAATAATTTAGTATATCTTATAGTACAGTTTTCAACGTGTAACTCAATGAATAAAGACCTCAAATATACTAATAAGTATAGGCAAATATTGATAAAAGTAGACGTTTTCATTATAATATAGGAACTTATAATAAACGAAACGTCATTATTAAGTTATTAAACTATTTTTAATTAATTATAAATTCTTTTTTAACTCCAATTGCTCTTTAGACTTCAATATTTTTGGCCTCATGTTGAATTTTATTGTTTGTCATTTAACAGTACCTTGCTATACATAGAATTTGGATATAATATATGGGCAAACAACTCTCTATTCTAGGATGATCTTCCTAGAATGAGTTATCCAAACATATGTATATATCAAACATGGTGTATGCCCTATATTACCTAATTTTGGAATAAATATATATATATATATATATATATGTGTGTGTGTGTGTGTGTGTGTGTGTGTATGTGTGTGTTATCCGTTCTTTAATTACCCATTTACTTGCTTTTAATTAAAGGTTTCTTTCATTAATTAGCTACTTTCATTCCTTAAACGGTCTTTCCCCGCGTGTGCGCCTATTAGAGTTATTACTTCACACTATTTGTATAACTCTTGTAAGTCTTCGCTAGATGGCGTATACATGTATCATTGCTTGGTTGTTTTGACAAGGGTCGTTCAAAAAAATGTTTCATTACAAAAATTGTTTTGAAAAGGTATCAGTTTTATTATACAAAAACTTAAATAATATTTTGGTATATGGGTAAAACATGTTATGTCAAAACTATTTTATTTATTTTTTAGAATTTTCTGTTTTTGACATTTGGCTTAACGCTTTATAGGATGGTGATTGTAACATGTCATCGCCAAGTTTCAATACAGGTTATCATAAGAAAAATCACTCGCATATTTATTTCCGTCGTTAAAGAACTTAGATCACGATGTTCCAAAAACGTTTAAATTGAAAAATATATATTTCTCCACATATTACAAAAGCACGATCCAAAAAAACATTATGCTAAATTCTTCATTTTAAAAGTTATGTCATAGAATTCATTGTATTAGTTGCGAATGTGATTATTTTGTCTTGTTTCAGGCTATTAATAAACAATTAAGATATTTTTATTTAAAAAAAATTACTTTAATTTTAAAGAAATAAGAATTTTTTTTTATCAATGTTTTTTAAGTTTTCTATACAATTAACGATGAAACATTTAAATTCAATAATGCGATTGCACAATTGAAAATTTTAATTAAAAATAATACATTTAAACAACATTAATTAATGTGATATTATAAGATGTGCTTATTGAACACCAGTGAATGATATATTATTTTATCTTTAATCAGGTCGAGCAAATAACCACCGAGTTTAAAGTAAGGGCCCTACAGTACCATCCAGATAAAAATGCCGGTGACAAAAAGTCTGAAGAACTATTTCAGAAACTAAATGTAAGTACACTATCATTAGCATTAGTCTGACGCACTCAGTATAAATGACGTTTATGGTGTTCATAGGAAGCCAAAGAAACGCTTTGCAATCCTGAGAAACGAGCTACTTACGACAAATGGAAAAACAGTGGCGTGGCAGTCAACTACAAGACCTGGTTGAGCAATAAAGAACATTTTCATCAGGTACCAATTTAATACTAGTAATACATTTATATATATTCTAAAAGATCGTTCGTGTTAAAATGATACTTACATAATAGCACATACCTTTACTAAAATTATCTTTAAGTCAATAAAATGAAATAACAGTAAAAGACATTTGAGATCCTAATAACTGTGAAATTTCGGATACAGTTTAAAATATATAGAATTTGAATTTTTCAATCAATTACAGGGTATCTAAATTAACTATTAATGATATTAATTTAACTTCCCGTATTATGTTTCGACACCTCCACTAAAATAAATAAGTAATAATTTTAAATAAGAAAAACAAAATTAAGTTACTTTTTTATTGATGAAAATGGTTAGGTTTTAAAAAAAATATGATTACAAAAAAAAAAAACTTAACATTCCCTAGGAATTTTCATAGTCCGCTTTGATGAAAGACTAATAATAATTTATAAATAAATAGTATACTAAAATTATTTTTTTTTTTTTGTTTTTACACAAATATTTTGTCACATACTATGACATCTATTTATAAAGTCTTAAGCTGTATAGGATTTATATTTGCGCGTATATCGAACTCATTTAGGAAAGTTCATTGTGCAAGTATTGTGCTACGTTTACAAAATCCTACTATAACATAAGCTATTCGATAAAAGTGCACAGCAATAAACTAAATCCTGAAACAAAGAACAGTTGTCAATGTCTATTTGAAAGACTACGTTCTATCGATACATATTACACTATTTCGATGCCGTTTTTTATGCACTCATTTTACCCACCCGACATCATACTTCAAAACACAATGACATCAACTCGATACTATTTTCATACTGTCCTTTCGAGTATTATGAAAAAAAAATAATGTCATACTTTATATGTAAAAATAATCTATTTAATATAATAATACCTGCTGGCGATAACACTTTTTTTATTTGTTTTGGATACGTCAAACCCCATCAAATGAATACATCTAACTTTTGAATATTTCGAATTCATATTTTCCTTTAATAAATATAAAACTCTATTCGACCAGTCCATTAAACAATATAGTACCGTACTTATATATGTACACTTACGGTTATACTTTTAAGTATACTATTATTACTAAGAAATATACTTCATTCAAAGTATTTATACGACCTTAACACTTGAAAATCATGCCAATTGTTAACAAAATATGACACTAAATTAATTTACTTTTCAAAAGTATCATTTGTTAATTTATATAATATTTTATGCGTTTCTGATAGTGTTGAATTTTACAGTCAATGCACTGGGCCAACATGAAAACTAAAGACAGGATGTTACCAAGTGGAGAAGGGCCGTCGGCAGGGTCAGTAGCGTCAAGAAGAGCTTCCGAAGGAGGAGTGAACTTAGGCGCCAGTAATGTCAAGTGGGATGCAAAATCTAACGCAGATATTATCAACAAATTCCGCAATTATGAAATATAAAATTGTGTTATTACTGTTGAGATGTCTACACAAACATCGCTTCATTTTCCACTGTTATATCCAAACATCACTGAAATTATTTTTTTGTCACCTAATACTCATGTCAAAATTACTTATCTGTATTGACAATTAAAGTTTCATATTTTTGTGAAACAAATTATACATTCCATGTAACACATTTATGAAACACGCGACATCTTGCAGTTCGCACATTTTGGGTGTACACTTTACAACGTATTAATATAAAGAATTTTATTTTTAAGGCATAATCAGGGATTTAATTTATGTTTATCTTAATTGTTTACCTTGGGTACCCAACCTTCGAATTTACGAGGCCTTCGAAAAAAATGTTTGCTGTTATTATTTTCTAGTCATTTTAATAATTATTTATTTTTCCATGTGACATTTATATTAAAATTAAATGATTGTAATTTTTAAATTGAAATCAAATAATCATTACAATGTGATAGTATTGCCATTAAAGCACACATTCATTAAATATAGAAGAACTAAATAATTTTGACAAATAATTATTGTTTGTCTATAATTGTATTTCAATACTATTTAGCTGTAGAATTGCGTATATATTTTGTTTAAAGGTTTTAGATTAAAACTAAAAATACCTATTTTTCTTTGTATGGCTGAAAATATAGACATTCAAAAAATAGATTTATTTTGTCACTTCTGACATTATATTTACATATGGCAATAAAATAAATTGAAATTATGTAAAAAATTCGTTTGTTTTTCTTTCAAATGTTTTGACCCAGGTCACTGTTTTTATTTATTAATTGTATTTTATGAAAAAATTTAGCAAGTATAGAAACAAAAATAAGTAAGGAAATATAACATCCATTTGTATTTTTTTTAATCTGTGTGGCACATACAGCATGTTTTTTAGTGTATAATTTTCGTGTCTTGTTCTTTTTCTTCGCATTTATCACAACTACTTGGAATAGGCCACCCTTATCCTAAACTTCCACTTAACGCAATAATTCACATAAGCCGTCCTAATATCGCATTCAATAAAATCCCTCCATCTCTTTTTTGATCATCCTCTACCTATTCTTCCTTCAACATTAATTTCCATAATTGTTCTCACAGCTTTCGATTCCTCTCTCCTCATAACACGACCAAACTATCTATGTTTTTCTTCTCTTTTTGTGTACTTTTGTAATTTTGAAATGAATTTTTTTGAGACTTGATATCATGAAAATAAAACTGTATAAACTTAATCGGAAGTAGAATTTCAAATGATAAATTTTAAGTGTCAGGAATATTTGAAAATACAAAATCTTTCGTTAGCGAGAAGAATTCCAATTTAAATCTTATGTATTTAAGAATGTGTTGCATGTCACTGTGCTATTGCTTGTGTAAGAACATTTCAAGCGTATTTCAGTTATAATTTAATTTTTATTAATATTCTGGAAAAAATCGAGAAACCCTTCTCTTTGTATGAGAATTTCGTGAGAAATATATCATTGTATGATTTATTTTAACTTTTAAAAATTGTTCATATAAAATGGGTATAAATGAATGTTTTTAATAAGAATTTAATTTATATAATAATTAATTCAAACAATTTCACCAAAATTTCCAATATAGAATATGTGGAGTGATTATAGTATTTGTTGATGTTCACTCAAATAAATCAAAAATTAAAAAAAATAACAATATTGAACAAAATTTTTATTGTCAATTTTAGTCTTTAAAAAGTTAAGTTGGATGAGTTCTACTTTCTATAAGCATATTTAACGGTTTAAATCCCCACTGTATAAAAGAATTTATAAAAAAATGATTTAAAAAAAACCCAGCACAGTGGGGATGTGGCACAGTGGTGACGTGACATAGTTGGATCAAGTATACTGATATTTGACAGAGATTAAAATCACTATCATAAAAAACACTTTGATGCAAATCTGTAGATAGTGTTTAATTTTAAAAAATTGTTGGATTTTTCCAAAAGCTACATTATCTTCTATTTCCTTATTTATATTCCGATTATAAGTTTTATTATGTATAAGTGTAATATACATTTATAATATATAAATATATGAAAAGGAAATGGTGTTATTTAAAAAAAAAAAGTATGTCGAAAGAAAGCGGGATATAAATATTATTTCTCATAAAAAAATTTTATTGATCCATACACTTTTCAATAAGTTATAACATTATAAATTTAAAAATGTATAATATAAAATCGAGAATTTTCACACAAAAAAAGCATTGGGTAACTATTTTCACTGTGAAAACCAAATAAAGCCCGAAATTTTATTTTTCATCATAATAAAGTATATTACATAAGCTTTAATTTAAGGTATATATAAAAAAGTCAGTATTTCCGGAACACTAAAAATTTTTGTGAAAAAGTTGTCTTTTTGAATCCTCCCCTGTGGTCAGGTAAAGGGTCAAATTTATAAAAAAAATATACCAAATGAAAGGTTAAGACATCATGCATCTACAAAAAAAAAAAATATTGATTTGGTAATTTTTAAAAAATTATGGCAGTATTAAGTAAAAAAAATTGAAAAAATCTCCAAAATAAGCAATTTTTAAATTTGTAATTTTTTTGGAGATTTCCCCCATTTACGGTAATGAGAGAAATTTTTTCAATTTCAGAGGGTAAAATCTTCGACTAGATACGATTTGTGATCTTTTGACGTATCGTTGAAATAAATCGGTACGATGAGAGCTGAGAAAAAGTGATAAAAAAAACAAAAAAAAAACATCATAGTAAAATTAATACCTTTTCAGCTTCGCATCGAAGCTAAAAATGTAACTTTAATAGAAAATATCTATATGTTAGAGTCATATAAATTTTGAATAATAAGAGTTGTCCCATGTTACATGCAGTTTTAATTAATCATATTGACGTTTATTCAACGAAATTCTTCATAGAATACAAATTTATAATATATAATTCTGTAATAACAAATGTTATTTACCGTCATCTGACTAACCATTGGTGTTTTTTTTCATATTACCCTCAAAAAAATATAATATTGAGCTATGAGTAACCATTATATGTTTAATGTTTATTTAACCGAAATGTAAAACCTCAGTTTATTTAGGTTCTAGAAAGGTATGAAAGTTCATCGTATTTGATTGAAAATTTTATAAGTAATCGTATCTACTTTAGTGCTGGCAGACATTTTTTATCTGTGTAAGGTATATTATTAGGATTTAAATAAAAGTGTTTATTCCAAAATTAATTTGGGTAAGAAAACTTTACTTTCATACTTAAACTATGTCAATAAAAATAGTTAAGAGAAATTTACTGTTGTCAAATTATTGTAAAATATTTCTAAGTAAACTGTCATATAAGTATAGGAAGGAAGTTGTTCTAGAAAAAGATATTTTAGTCGTTTCAATGTAATTGCAGTAAATTTAGTACTGTTTGAAATGTCTAAGAAATATTTTTACAATTTTAGCCACTTATGGTAATAATAATGTCTTTTAAAAGGAAAAACATGGTAACAGAATACATAATGGAAGTTTTAAAACGAAAACGGTATTGCATAATTTTTATCACAAGTCACCATAGAAAAATCAAGCTATAAATGCAATTACGTTGTTAATAGACCATAGTACAAGAAGAGAAGCTCAGAACCGAACGTTAAATTTACAAAGGGATGGTAGTCTGCAGTCTGGATATAAAAAGGATTATGCTCAGACTGCTCCACCAAGCGAATGAATTAATCGGTTGCCTAACCAAATGAGGTTGGCCCATTTGATGGTGTAAAACACTGCGGGGAAATAATCTTTTTCGAGCCATTATAATGTAAAATAATAACAACACTAATAGTATTAGCATATAAGCAACCAAGGTAAGCTATCTACTAAAAAACACCTCATGTAATGGGTTATATTATAGTAGGTCTTATGTACATAAAATAACAATAAAGGCGATTAAAGAATTAAGAATTAGTCAAATTATTATTATTAATTAAATATGACTTTAGCGATAATAAAAATATATGATAAGGAGAAAAACGAACTTTTAGTCCAACTATTAAAAAATCTTAGCTACGCAGCGAATCCAAATTATTTGGTAATTTTTTGAATAAAAAATGTTTACTAATTCTTCAGTTGTGTTACACCACTAACAAGTTATGGCTTTTAACGGTAAAATTGTCAAATAACTTTTTTTTGACCACCTTTTATTTTAAAACTTATATAAATGACTCTCTTAGATTATACATTTACATTATTAACAACTCAAAACAAATATTTATTATGCTGATTGTTACATTCCTAGTTAAAATAAAACAAGTGCCAATTAGAATATCATAGTTGTATATAATCTTAAAACAATTGACTAAGTTAGTAACATTCAGAAGAACTTTGAAAAAGACACATAGATTTAACTTTAAAGGAAAAAGATGACATTATATAATATTCGAATACTATTGAGTGAAAACTATTTTTTTCCTAAAAAAAGTCAAAGACTATGAATATTATCACATTAATCATTTCGTTTTTGCATTTCAGAACATTTTTTTATGATAACCCTCTCATTGAATAATATGTGTAATCAATTACTCTCTTCCCGTTCCATTTTATAACTCTAAAGACAATTACATAAAATCTTTAATTAGTATACACAAAAATTGACCTATGACTTATGATAGTCATTTTTTATGTAAAATCGTCCACCGAGTCTGAAAATGAAGCCCAAAATACAAAAAGCAGAACAGTTTTTGAGTTATTGTGAAATTAGCGTTTTTCGTGTGACGCGAAAAAGTGTTTTCATTATATTTTAAATATCTTTAATTGCATTCTACCGATTTTCATTTTTTTTTCATAAAATTAAACAATATTAAATTACTTATAAATTTTATCTTAAACAATTTTTTATCTGACTTTTTTCTCGTTTGCTATCTACGAATTTACTTCTGAATTTTTATCATTTTTTTCAAAATGTCAGAAAAAATTCAGAGTTTTACGTAAAATACACCAATAAAAAATAAATTTATCAACAATATACTCAATAGACATTATACTCTAATACATAAAAAAAAAAAATTATATATTATTTTGTAATATTGATAAAAAAATGAAGAAGTTATGCGAGATTGAAAAATAAAACAAATTTCCTAATATCAGAGTTATTTAATTCGATGCTTTAATTTTGTAAAATACAGACAAAAATATTGAAAAATTACTCACAATATTACTTTTCAAAACAAAATTTCGATTCTTTAAATAACTTAAGGTTATTTCATATAGTTTTATTGGAATATTTTTAAATTGCAGATTGAACTTGCTCCAGTTCTGCTGCGTGCCGCGGAGAGCCTTTTTTAAGGCAATGTCAAAAAACCACAGTACCGACGTCATTTTGAACTATTTTTCAATGAAAATGTGGTAAATTAGATGTTCTAATTCCAATTTGACCACGTGGATAAGTGTTGTCAGAAAGAGTTAAAAAAATTATAATGTAACATTCACTGATTGAACACTGACCACTGAGAAGATGGTCAAATCCCCTTTTATATTCACATTGATAATAAAATAATCATTAAAATATTTATACCATAATGCTTTTTAGTGTTACAATAATTTAATTATTAAATTACTTGACAATATAATTCTACTTTCTATTAATTGTAATGTTATATATTAATTCCATAAAATATTTACAAAATAATTATGGGTTCGAGAGAAAAAAAAATATTTTTTATACTTCAATATATGACTAATATAATACTCGAAAGGTTTCTTATCTGCACCTTTCCGTCTATCCCAAAAAAAATCATGAAAAGGCCGTTTATATATATAAACGTATATTTTACTCGTAAAGATCATCTCCGGATAGATAGCAACAGGTCCGAGGTAGGAACTATACTGCCGACTAAGCGTGTTTTCTAAATGTTTTTATAATTTTGGTTGTTGTTTTTGTCGTTAATTTTGTTATTATTTTCATTCGTGTCGTTGTTGTTGTTTTGTTTTTATCGTTATCGCTGTTATTGTTTTTGTCTTTGTATCTGTTTTTATTGAATTTTGTTTTCCATTGAATGTCAAAAAAATTATAAAAAATTAATTTTATTTCAATAGCTGTTAACAGAAAAGAATGAAGTGTATTTTTGACGAAAATGAGTTAATTGTGTAAATGAACTAACTTTCTAGTAAAATATATATAATAAAAGATCAAAAAGTTAAAATTTAGTATTTAAGTACTGAATTGCATTAAAAAATTAATTATACGCAAGAATAAATATTAAAAAAAATTACAAAACGGCTCTCCTAAAACGACAAAAATATATTTAATTTTTCACGCACTAAGCCTGTACTAGGGATGGGTAGTGAGTGAGTGAGTCAACTCTTTGAGTTGACTCTTTTAGGTGAACTGAACGAGCTGAATTAGTGTGCCATAGTACTGTGACTCAATGACTCAGTGTGGACTACTGAGATTTGAATTTAGTTTAGAACGTCTTATCAATAAATTCTGAATCATGTGAATTGTGATGTATAGATTTAACATACATAGGTAGAATTTGATGGAGCAATATTTGGGTCATCAATCGTCTCTTCTATTACATGAGTCTTTCTATCTAATAAATTTGATGGAAAATTTAATGGATACTTAGATTTAATATAAGGAAATGAGGATCTTCAATCTATGGTTAAACGAATAAACGAATGTATAAATACACCCATTTGTTTAACGACTGCGCGTTTACCACCAAAAGTACGTGAGCAATATCATGACTTGTTGTTTGCCGATCTCCACTTCAAAACGCCCAATTGATATGAGATGTCTTTCCACATACTGTACGTCCAAAGGCGGAGATCATACACATGAAAGGTTTACCCTCCGGGCTTGACACTTATCTAGGATGGATATCAGTAAGTACAGTCCGCTCACTGACTCCTCGCCACAGCCATTAACGTCACTTGCCGTGACTCTTTGCCCACCTGTTGACAGTTTGTTGCGTCAATTCTGGACAACAGAAGAACCGTCAGCACCGCTACTTCCTACAAAAGAGGATGAATTCTGTGATCACTGGTTTGCTCATACTAGCACACGTGATGTATCGGTTGTTTTTGTATGGTGCTACCGTTCAAAGATGAGATTATCACGATTGTAATAAAAATACCGCTGACATGAGCGCGCCATCGTTTAACCACGTGCTCGATGAATCTCGCAATTTTGCCCTCAAAAGATAATATAATCTCGAACAGTTATGAATACAATTTTACACTAAATTTTTTATCTGTAGTCAAATCTTAGTAAAATTGACTAAAATTTTTATGAAATCAAACATTTTATAATAATAATAATAATATAATATATTTTCCTTTTATATAAATATTTATTCCAACATTTTTTTTGAAAATTGGGTAAAATTATAATGTAACTAACAAATGAATAACTTAATGACCAGCTTCAACTTTTTTTTGTTTTTCTAACCCTTCTTCTTGTGGCTCGTCAAATACATAATCAATTTCTTGATGAGGCCAGAATGATGGCTTGTTTTCAAGATCTAATGTCAAATCAGGCTCAATATAAGCAGCATCTTCATAAGTCATTTGGGAATATGGCAACAAATTCTTAATTTCCTCGATCCTTAATTCTGCTTCTTTAATAGTAGAGGCAGCTACCTTTTTAAATTCTTCTATTTCCTGCATCTGTAATTTTCATAAGAGAATAATTAGACAATGACATTATATGAATAAATGGTAAAATTTAAAAGCACAAAAATAAAACCTTTAATTACAAAATTTAAATCTGAATACAGTAATTTTAAAGACAATTTGCTAAAGATTAATAAAAATATATATGAATAAATAAAGAGAATATGTACAGTTTTTTTTTCAGAGCTATCAATAAATGCTGTATATTTATCTTCAGGATATGGAATTTTCATGGCATTGTATTGTTTTTCAAAATTTTCAACTAAACCAGCGATAGGAATAGCATTCTTGTATTTGTCCCAATCAATTTTAGGTGCTTCTGGGGATAATGCAAACATTCTGTAAATTATTTCGTTCAATATTTAAAATATATGTTAGTAATATAAATTTATATAATTTTTTTTACTCATTTATCACATTATATTAATCTATAAAATTTTAATTTAAGAATTATTTAGTGATAAACATTTAATTCGGTCAAAAATGATTTTTGGATGATCTTTACATACTTTCGGAGGTACCCATCAGATTTAGCTTTAAAAGCTAAACAAGCAGCTTTTTTAGCTTCAGGAACGCGTTCACTAATAGCAATCCAATTAACAGACGACTGAGCAATTCTTCTAGCCATTTTAACTTGTATAAATAATGGATAGCAAAAGCACACTTTGTTTGAATTTATTCAATTTACAAATGCATTCAGATTCTTACAAAAATTAATGTTATCACGCAGCTGTTGGGATGGCAACGATATATCGATATACTGTTTCGATGTATCGATTTTTTATATCGATTAAAGATTTTCGATATTTATATTTAAATTTGTATTTTTTGTTAGTTTGTCTAGATAATAAAAAATTGTAATTTTATATCGATTAAAGATTTTCGATATTTATATTTAAATTTGTATTTTTTGTTAGTTTGTCTAGATAATAAAAAATTTTAAATGTTTATAAATACATTATACGTCAAGTTATATGCAATAAAAAGTAAGTTGAGTTGATACACTCACTCACTACCCATCCCTACTTACTATGATATACAACTCTGCTTATTGAGGGTGACGACCGTATTTCTCCACTTAGTAATTAATTTAGTTCTGTGTGAAATTTAATCAGCTTTTTAATGATATAATCAAATTTCGGTGGCGTATCACCTGTTTGATCAACACTTGATGAATTAGATGGCGCTGGTTGATCCATGTGCAAAATAGTATGGTGTTTTTTCTCGTACCTGTTAGATGCCAAGTTTTAAGTGCTTGACAATGCAACATAACTCGGTTTGAGACACGAAAAACATAATTTGTGCGCTGAAACATGTTCACGCCTTTTATGAACAGAAATTTTTTGAATGGTATAGCACCGATAAAGGGAATGTCACGATTTTGACAATAAGAACACTGAATTTTATTTTGAACAGTAGACTCTAGATTGTTAAACGCGATGGTGATTAATAAATTTTTCGGCGATTGCGAATTTTTCTGTACCGAACGTGACGCAGCTAGATTTGAACCTTTAAGATTATCCAAAATTTTACGTTTCAAACTTCAACAAGTCATCCATAGTAGAAATAATCGATTGGGATATATTGTTTTCAAATAGGTGTCTGATCGTGTTATTGAGTACACAAAAAGCAAAAAACCAGACAGGTCGTCTACGCTTAAAATTTTGATTGCCTCAATATTTTCTTTTAACACATTCAAAAAAAGCCAGTACAAGGGGGTCGCGGCACAGTGCTGACATGGCATAATTGGATCAAGTATAATGATATCTGACAGTGATTAAAATCACTATAAAAAATAAACGCTTCGATGCAAATCTTTAGATAGTGTTTAATTTAAAAAAAATGGTGAATTATTCCAAAAGTTACATGTTCTGCTAGTTCCTTATTAATATCCTGATTAAGATAAAGTATGTCGAATGAAAAAGGGATTATTAAAAAATATTATTTCTCATGAAAAAATTGTGTTGATCCATACACTTCTTAATAAGTTATAGCATTATAAAGTTAAAAATTTTAAAAATAAAGTCGAGAATTTTCACACAAAAATAGCATTCGATAGCCATTTTCACCGTGAAGACAAAATAAAGTTCAAATTTTTTTTTTTTTAATATTAAAGTATATTACGTAAGTTTTAATTTAAGATATATATATAAAAGTGTCAGTGTCTCCGGAACACTTTCAAAAGTTAAGTTGAAAAAGTTAATTTTTTGTGAAAAAGTTTGAGGGTAATGTCTTCGACTAGATATGATTTTTAATCTTTTGACGTATCATTGAAAGAAATCGGTTCAATGAGAGCTGAGAAAAAGTGGTATCAGACAGAAAAAAAAACACATCATAGTAAAATTGATATCTTCTCAGCTTCGCATCGAAGCTAAAAGTTACAAAGATAAAAGTGATTCACTATTTATAGGCCGAAATGCAAATATTTTATCCAAGTGTGCCGTTGCTAACACTTGTTTGTTTTCATACCTATCAGTAAGCGTGTTCCACGCTATATCATAATTGGCTTCCGTAATTGGTATAAATTTTATGACAGCGGGCGCAGAGCCGGACAAACACGAAAAAAGGAAATGGAATCGTCGTTCACAATAGATTCAAATGCATCATGAAAGTAGTCCAGTCTGGTGATACTACCTAATCAAATTTCAAGTTCATATTCGCATACTTGTTGTTGTATAACGCATAGTAAAATTCATTTTACTATGGTATAATGTATTATAATAGAACTATTCGACGTGATAGAGTTCTATTAACGCGCTTACAATAGCCTCTTCATGTTCACGAAACTGTTTTTCATAAAACACTTAATTGACGAACGGGTACTTCAAGCTGTTCTTTAAGGTTAATGTCTGACTTAACCTTATTGGCGAAACTAATAATTTTAGTAATCGACTTAAGGGAACTATCCCATAAAGTATGTACTCCAATGAGAGTCTTTTCTTCCAGATTTACTTTAAAATGCCTCTAATACATTATATTCTAATGATTAAGACAAATAAATATCCATGCTCGAAGGACCAATGAATGAACGCAGCGCCCGGTAGTATTCACGTGAGTTCCATTAACGATCGTTGTTTTATTTTGTCTTAAGTCTGACTATGTCGAGTAATAGGAATAGAGTGAGTAGACTGTATGAATAAATGTAGAATGAATTTACAATATATAATTATATATTGTAAATTATAATAATTATAATTATTAAATGTATAATACTTGAATCATAAAATCTTATACACACCAATGTGGATAGGTAAGGCACTTAATACTAATGCTACAATGGCGATGATATGAACAAATAATAAATTATAAATGTGAGTAAGTCTTAAAAGAAGATGAACAAGCATTATACTTATCGGCTAGTTGAAACGGCGGATGATAATGTTGTATATTAAAAGGATCAATTAAAATCAAATGCAAGTAGTTGACCAACGTGTACAATATGTTGTGAACAGTATTTTAATGTATCTCAGAAAACATATAGACCCAAAGGCGATATACTGAGCGCACAATGGTGCGACGATCGCAAAGGTGATATTTTACTTTTACAACAAAACGAATACAAAAACTACTAGCTCGTAAGCGTCTTTGAGCTTATAGTTGAAAATACGCTAAGATGGCGACGACAACGCAGACATAGAGAGAAAACCGACATCAACCGGTGTAGCATAACAATACTATTAATAATCATAACACAATTTCTCGACAACATATCGATGTGTATCCAACAATAACATTATAAAATTCTAGCGTTAAGAAACTAATTTAATAAATTTATTTTTATTGTTAGTATCTATCAATCCTTCCTTAAAACAATTTCACACTAAAAGCTACTTTATTTAAATACATTACTAATGCTATTAAATAATATGTATATTTGATTTTGTAAAATTTTTAATAAACCTTGTTACTTAATATTTATTAATTGATGATATTAAAAAAAGATAATGAATTGTATACACCTCTAAAAGAAATACTGGTGAAATCTATAAAGTGTGTGAACAAACAGTTTGAGTTAAATCAATATAATCAAAAAAATGTCTAGTATATTAGATTCGTGTGTTTGACTATAACAATGTATTGGTTTTTTCTGGTGTAGTAAGAGAGTTAAAAAATTGTCGAATTTTACGAATTAAGAATATTCAGCTGTATTAAATTATGATTTATCCGAGTGCATTATAAGTACTATTGTATTTCTATTATTCATAAAAAAAGTAAGAATAATATCCAGTACTGGACGTGTATGGTACAGAACGCCTTTAGAAGGATCTAGTTGACCAGTTGTTATAAAGATCATTGATTATATTATTTCGTGGGACAGTTGATCACCAGCATCATGCTTTACTCACACCCTTGCCCACCCATCACAGCAAATCGATGACCTCCGTGTCGGTTTTCATCCATGTACAGTTCATTGTCATAAGTCAGTCAGTCGTTTTGTTTTACGTGTCATTCTTTTCTGTTGCAAGCGCCTTCGCTTGAATAGTAAATTGTTCGGCCGTTGTACGCCATAGTTTCTTATTATTTGTTTATTGCACCCTTGTGCTCAAATTTTCGTGCTATTGCACGCCACTAGTGTATGGGCCCTGACCATCACTAAACACTATCATTGCCGTATTCAGTTGTCATCTGCCATTACGTGCCTGGATTTACACTCTGACTCTTCATACTCAGATGTTCGACACCATTACCACAAGATCTCATACAGTCCACTCATCAACATTAACAACGTCATTTATACAGCTGAGTTTTATATAATATTTAATGTTATTTATTGTTTGTTTTAATTGAGATTAACTATATGTTTTATGCCGCTTCGCCGGCCACTAGTATTTAAGGGCCCCCCCGTTACCCCTTAAATTTAAGTTAGCCGTCCTACGGTCTAGCTGCCTCGTACGCAACAGAACGTGAAAAGTGAACATAACATTTAGAGTAACCTGGACTAAAAATAGCTTTTATTTTTTATTGCATATAACTTGACGTATAATGTATTTATACAATTTTTTATTATCTAGACAAACTAACAAAAAATACAAATTT